CCTATGGTCAGAGCACCTGCCTCTGGGGTGGGGAAGAGGGGTCCAGCTCAGGACGTTAGAAGCAAGGGTATGGGCCACGGTCTGATCTACACCATCTTGTTCTCCTTGAATTTTTATTGGACATGAATTATCTAATTTTAAAAATAAGTTTAACAATAGCCGGGCACGGTAGCACACGCCTATGATCCCAGCAGCTCGGGAGGCTGAGGCAGGAGGATTCCAAGTTCAAAGCCAGCCTCAGCAATAGCGAGGTGCTAAGCAACTCAGTGAGACCCTGTCTCTAAATAAAATACAAAATAGGGCTGGGATGTGGCTCAGTGGTCGAGTTCTCCTCAGTTCAATCCCTGGTACCCTCCCCCACAATAAATAAAGCAATAGATCAAGTGTTAAGATGTGTAGCTGGAAAAACATGAATGATCCACTTAGAATGGTCAGGTGCAGCAGAAAAGCTTGCAGAGTGACCAACCAGAAGCAGCTTGGGGTTTTGTGCACAAGGAGGACTCACCTACCAGCTCCGAGAAACCTGGAGGTCTGGAGTGGCCTTCTCTCTCTGTCTACCTCCTGGGTGCCACTCTCACCCAGACCTGGAAAGTCTCCCAAGACCAGACAGTGCCTACGCCTAATGGGCAAAACCAACGGGCTAGCAACACAGAGTCCCTGACCCTGGTTTTGATCTACTTCTGAAGGGTCTCAGGGGAAGTGTCTGTCTTTACCTCAAACATCCTACCCACAAAATATTAACGTCATGGGAAGGCAGATATCACATAATGGGTGACATTTACTGAGGCAATGTGGAGCAAACAGTAAGTGCATAACTAGTGCTATTATTATCCTGGTCTTGACCAAGACTGAAACCTGCATTCGGATTTCAATAAAACGACTGTCCTCTTCAGGGACCATGTGCCTTTTCCTCTCTTCCTCCCATGTCTCCCTCAAAAAAAAAAAAAAAAAAATCAGATCCGAGACCTTAATTATAATCAGAGCTTCTAGTAACCCTACCAGGTAGATGTTCCTAGCTCATTTAATGAATAAGGAAACTCACCAAGATTCCCCAGCTGGGGGCGGTGAGGTCACCCCGCCTTACTGTGAAGCTAAGGGAGGAGCCCAGCTCTCCTTGCACCTCAACTCATAGTCCACCTTGAGTCAAACACCTGCTCTGCCGGTCAGGGGTGTGGCTCAGTGGCAGAGCGCCTGCCTAGCACATGCTAGGCTTTGGGTTCGTCCCACGCACTGCAAAACTGCAAAATCCAAACAACTCACATTTTTTGCCCGTTCTTCAACAGGTAATGAAATTCCCCAAAGGTCAAAACTGGGCTGAGTCTAAACGACACGATACCTTTATTTTATTCATTCATTTATTCCTTCAGCCCTGAAACACACAGTAACTATGCAAGTTGCCGCCTAAGGACACCAATGCTTTTTTGTATCCTTCCTCTGCTGCAAAAAGTGGAATCACGGTGATACACGGAATCCAAGCTGAAAAGACACCTGGACTTCTTTCTGTGCCTTACCATTTTTTTTTTTAGAACACTTAAGAAAAACATTGGGAACTGTTCTCTAGCTCTTGTACCTGGAATATACTTCAAATGTTCAGTCTTGAAATATCAAGTATTATGACCAAAAGACAACAAATATAGAGATATAGTTGGCACAGTGTATCAAATCCCTTGTTCTAGCGAAACGTGAGCCACCGCTGGACCCTGACAGCTCCACCTGGAATCCTTGCTCGCACTGCCGGGAGAAGTGGTTTCTGCACAACTCTGGAGCACCTCACTCATTTTTCCAACAGAAATGGTATTATTGCTACTTAATTGCTATAACACACTCACCTTAAGGACTAAACAGCTTCGGGTATAATGGCCTTAGCCGCAGTGTTAATCATTTTTGAACAACTGTATCCTGGATTCCAACCAAGTAAATTAACTTTACATACCAACTCAGGCTGAAAGTGGGACCTCACACACTCCCTACTGCACAGAGGAACTGTCAGTCACCATTAACGAGACTCACCCTTCTAAGCTGCAGAACTTTATGCAATGCAAAGAAGAGTAGGATTCAAAATGAATACTAGCCACATTCACCCCTAAAATTCTTAGCAAATATAAACAGCTTTA